GCTCGGCCTCGATCTCTGCCGGCTGAGTTGCCGAGTCGGCTTCCTTGTCTGCAGCGGCAGGCTGCTCTTCGGCCGGCTCGGTCGCAGTGGCTGGCTCAACGGGCTTTTCATCAGCACCAACAGAAACTGGCGCATCTTCGCTAGTCGGGGCAGTCTCTTCTTGTGGTGCTGCTGGTTCTGCCTCCACGGTGGTGTCGTCAGACTTGGGATCTTCAGCAGCTGCATCAGTGGTTGTTGCATCTTCTGGGATAGCCGCAGGTTCGGCCACAGCAGGTGCTGCGTCTTCCTTGACGTCGGCCGTCTCAGCCGGGGAGGATTCTTCGCTTCCAGCTGCTTCAGCTGAAGCATCAGGTGTCTCAGTCGGAACCTCTGCAGGCTCGGGTGCGTCAGCCGGAGCATCAGGTACTGGTGCTTCCTCTGAGGCAGCGGGAACTGGTTCAGCTTCTTCAGGCTTCACAGCATCATCCGCGGGAGCATCTGCCCCGACGACTGCGGCTTCGGCTGCATCCTCCACAACTGGCGTCTCAGCCGCAGCTTCAACCGGGACCTCTTCTGATGACACTGCTTCTTCAGCTGCCTGAGTTTCGGCGGCCACTTCAGCCGGAGCATCAGCGGCATCAATCTCAGCCGGTCCAGGCTGGGCTGTTTCAGCCTCTTTAGCGACCTCAGAAGGAACTGAAGATTCCTCCGTTTCAGCACTGGCCTCCGTCGAAGTAGTTACCTCCGTCGATGCTTCTTCCGGCATTGGCTCCTCGGAGGTCGTTTCTTCCACTGCCTCAACCGAAGGCTCGGCTGAGGGCTCAGCTGGAGCTGATTCATCAGATGCTTCGCCGGCAACGGGTTCGGCAGCCGGTTCTTCGGAAGGAGCATCCTCAGTCTTGGCCTCGGAAGTTTCTTCGGCCGCAGGGGCAGCAGGAGCAGGAGACTCCTCAGGCGAAGCCTCTACATGTGCCTCCTCGGGGGCGGGGTCCTCAGGCTTGACATCGGCAGCAGCAGGTTCTTCCGCAGGCGCGGATTCTTCAGCTGTGGTGTCAAAAGGGGCATCAATCGAAGCATCTGCAGGAGCATCGGCAGGAGCATCGGTAGCAGGCCCATCAGCAGCGGCAGCGTCATCCGGCTGAGCCTCCTCTGCGACATCTGCAGCAGGCTCGGCGTCAACGGAAGCTTCGGCCGCAGGCTCCGCAGGGGCAGCATCCTCTGGTTTTGGCTCTTCGGAAGGCTCGGTGACGGGCTCATCCGCAGGAGCAGCGTCCTTCGGCTTATCTTCAGCTGAAGTCTCAGTAGCTGGCTCTTCAGTAGCTGCAGTCTCTTCCGGAGCTGGCGCAGAATCGTCAGGTTTTAACTCGACAGGAGCCTCATCAGCTGCTTTCTCCTCGACGGGAGCAGCGTCTCCCGACTCAGCTTCGACTGTGGCATCAGCCGCAGCATCCGCAACAGGTGCAGTCTCTTCCGATAAAGGCTCAGCTGAAGATTCACTGGCTGGCTCCTCTGCTGGTGCAACAGTCTCAGGCTCTGCATCAGCGGGCGCGTTAGGGGTCGACTCTGAGACTGTGGACTCCTCAGGCTTGACCTCATCGGTAACAGGTGCAGCATCCTCTAGTATAGGTGCGGACTCTTCGGACTTTTCCTCTGCCGGTGTCTCTGCGGTTATTTCGGGGACTGCATCAGCAGGTGCATCGGCAGGAGTTGCGTCTCCAGGCTTGCTGTCCGCTTCCTTGTCAGCTTCGGCTTCAGCCTGTGCCTCAGAAGCCTCGGGAACAGCTTCGGCAGGTGGTGTGTCTTCGGTCTGAGGTTCCGCTGCAATAGACTCTGCTTGAACTGTTGTGGGCTCATCAGTTGCAACCTCCTCAGTGGAAGCTTCAGGTGTAGCCTCTGTTGCCTCGGGGGCCACTTCTGCTGGTGTATCGGCTGCGTTGTCTTGGCTGTCTTCTGTTGCAGCTTCAACAGGAGCTTCAACAGGAGCTTCGGCAGGAGCTGGATCTACAACAGCCGACTCCGTTGCCTCTGCAATGGCCTCGGCAGCGTCTGGCGATATTCCCGTCGCTACCGTGTCATCGACTTTGGCGTCATCCAGGCTTCGGTTAGCAGCCGGCTCAAGTTCAGCTTCGACGGCCGGCGGCTCCTCCTTGGCCTCAATGATGGCGTCCGGAGGCGGAGCTGGAGCATCCTCCATCTTTGGCGGTTTGGCGTCCTCTACCGGGGGTGGCGGCGGCGGAGGGGGGATCGATCTTGAGCTCTCGACCGGCTCTGGTTCGGCGTCTTTTCCGCCCTTGCCCTTCTTTTTCTTCTTCTTTTCTTTCTTCTTGTCCTTTTCCTTGTCCTTTTTGGAAGATTCCTTCGTCTTCGTCGGAGACACGGGTGCCTCCTCTGCAACGATCTGTTTCTCTTTAATCGGTTCAGGCGTAGGCTCGGGCTCGGGCTCAGGGTCAAGCTCGGGTTCAAGCTCAGGTTCCGGTTCGGGCTCGGCTTCTACGGGTGGCGGAGGCGGAGGTGGCGGAGGTGCAGCAATTTCCTCCTTTTTGCCCTTCTTCTTCTTCTTCTTGTCCTTTTTTGAGGATTGTGTCGGCCACTCGTCTTCGGCTATGCCGTGGTCTTGAGGCGGTCCAGGCGTGGGAAGCTCAGGGGCGACAGCCGATGGCTCTTCATAGGTGTACTGTGCTGCCTTCTTGTCCTTCTTTGCCTTCTTCTTGCTCTTTTTACTGCTGCTGCTGGCTTGTGCAGGTTGTGAAGGATACGTCACGCCATTGGCATATACGTCGCCGTCTGTAAGATGAAGGGGTTAGGCGTGCTAATGCAATACTCAAAGCGCAATCTAACGTGACTTACCATTTTCCAGCTCTGAATCTGAAGGTTGGAAATACTGGATGTTGGAAAAATCTTGGGTTTGGACATGGTTCCAATCAAGGTTCTGCCGGTAGGGGCAGAAATCGACTGGTTCTTCCGAATTCATGCTTCCAGGACTCGTGGATTATGGGGGTCCTTGTTTCGCAAAAGTTGATCAATGCTGATCCGGGGAGATTGTCTGATGTTGTCTTTGGCGCACGTGGACGGCTGTCGTTGGCGAGAGATGAGATTGGGAGTTCTTTTCTTGACAAGTTCTCAATTTTCTTGTGATAGTGCGGTGCCCAAGCCGGAGTAAGAAGTTCGAGTCTCTTGGGCTGGTATCGCGAGACTCAAAAGGATGTATTGTGAGGTATCTTGTCGCCTGTGAGACCGTGTTGTGGTGTAAACAACAGACAAAAGTGCAATGGGCAGTTATGACAAGGAAGCAACAGGTTTCTTGTCTCGGCTTGACACTGGATAGAGTTGAGAAATAAGGGACCAAGAGTGATGAGATGCGTCCCGACTACGACCATCCCAGGAGGACACAATTGGGCTAAACTGTGGGAAGAAAAGTAGATTCTTGAGAAGCAGGGGGGAGCTTTCCCAGCAGTGCCAAACATCACAAGCATCACTGGTCTGTAGCAGGGTTCAAGGTGCGGGAGTAAGGGGTCCCTGACACAGGCCTACCCCACGCTGTCCCCACGAATGGAGACAAATTGTGGCAGTCTCAAAGTCCAAGTGATCACTGTCGTGCGTGCTTAAGGGCCATTGGCTCAAGTGAGGCGGAACAAGCACTGGCGCCACGTCGCAATTGGGTTGGACTGGGGAGTGCGGTCTCTGGGATTTGGGAGCTTGAGTGATGTGATAAATGATGTGACAAGAGGCGAGGCAGAGGAACAGAATTGGACCTGGGACATCAGACGGACAAGGAGACAAGGAGGAGGGTTGATGGCTGCCCAACGACGATGCGATTGGAAGCGAGCGGCCAACCCGCATAATGAGACGGGCTCAACCAGGCCGGGCATGAACGTCGGTGATTTTTTCCCGGGATATGTGGTTTACTTTTTGTGGTCTTATCCCTTTTCGTAGTCTCATAGGGCCGTATCTAAGTCTCAAGATGACATACCGCTACCGCCGTACCGTCGAAGTCCATTGATTCTATCGGATGAGTACTGTCGCTTGACTTTTATCTATAAAAGCCAAAATCATTGCGGATGCCATGGGGGAAAGAAGCCTACGGGTCAGTCTTTGCGGTGAGGCATTGGAATAGACCGAGAGACCACAAAACAACAAGGCGCAGCGCCTGTACACCAATGATCTTCATAAAGCGACGATGGATGGATAGTACTGAGGAGGTCAAATGTATTCGTACTTGGCCTGAAAAGGGCTCGAAAGGGCTTAGGCTCCCCAAGACTCTTCTGAGGACGAGGGAATTTTTTTGGGTTCGATGAAGTGTCAATTGTCAAGCATCCCTCCACTCAGCGGCTATGAGCTAATAATTGCTGTGCTGCGCTGGTCGTCGATTTCCGGCCCAGTGCACTCGCACGCATCGGGCAGCCGGAGCAGGGTAGGTCGATGGGCCGGTCCACTAGGGCCAGGCATATCCTTGTATGCACAGGTACTCATCGCGCCTGGCGAGACATGAGGAAACGATTGCCGACGGAAAGGTGGTTCCTGGAACATAGTGGAGGGTAAACCCAACCTTCTTCCCGTCATTCGTGATATTCGAAGAGACTGAGGGTGGGCAAGGGAGAAGCCGCGGTCTGGCTGGAAGTAGTTAGACGGCGTCGAGAGGCCATTATGATTGTGCACATGGCCACTCGCTGACTGGCACTTTCCTTCGATAGACGCTCACCGGCGGCTGGCATGTCAGTGGTGGGGGTTGGAGTAGAGCGCGGTTTGTTTCTCATCGGCCATTAAACCCCCGGTCAGCGAGGTGCAACGTGGCTCGCCTGGGTGAGGCTCGTCTGTGAAGATCCATGCAGTAGAGGCCCGGACCACGGCTGGCGGGAGGGGCGGATGTGACTGCAGTGACAGTGACAGTAGCACCAGCAGAAGAGTGGTGGGTTTGGATTGGGCGACGGCTTGTAACGGGCTGTTTTCTTCGGCTGTCTGCGAGGAAGTAGGGAGCAACGTGGGCGTGCAAATGCGAGAAATACAATGTCGTGATGACCATGTCATGTCAGCAAAGCGTCTTCCGTGGAACGACTTGCTGTGCCATCTAATGTAACCGCCGAATGGAGTGTTCGGGCGAAAATTCCGGTGAGAGGGAGTTGGTAAGGTGGGCGGAGGTTGGGCCGACGCCGATATGGGATGGGACGGGATGGCATGGCTCCTCCCGAGGTCAGTGTCTGAGAGGTGCAGTAGCCCAGTCTAGCCCGAGGAGATGTGTACATAGGTTGTGTGCCGCAATGATGGCGTCGGTGCGATTGGTGCCCTGCAAGAACCCGACTTGGTCCGACTACATGCCACTGGGCATAAGAGAAAGAATCAATGGGGCCGTACACGAGTCGGCGGTTGGGCGCTGAGAGGGCGGCAGGCAGCATGGCTGGTGGTATTGGGCGGACCTGAGGACCGATGATCGAAGACTGGTGACCGATGGAGAGAATGGGTTGGCAGCATCTGGGCTGGGGAAGCATCGAGGTTGCGAGGGAAGCCATCGCGATTCCGAGGCTGATACGTATACTGATATTACCAGGAAGGTCAAGTAATCGTCGGGTACATGGTCGTGAATTGAACCAGCTGTTGATCGATGTCGTGGACTGTCACAACGGGCGCTCAATTGCGGTGGATAAGGCTCATCGTCGATTGTTTTGTTGTTTATGCGAAAGAAGACCCATCCATGAAAATGTTTGCAGGGAAGCGGAAGAGGGAAGGCCAAGGGAAGAAATTGAGTTGGCAGTCCTGACTCCTGACCCGAGCTTTTGCCAGGAAGATGGTTTCACTTTCTTCGGGAAGGAAGCATTGGTCGCTGTCACGTCACAGCCAGCGTGTTGGGAAAGACATTGCTACACTACCTTAATAAGAGTCACTAACGTGCCTGCCCTCACCGCTGGGAATTTCGGTGTAGCATGTGGCAGGCGCCAACACCTGCAACTTTACAGTGCCTGCCCTGGCCATTGACACCTCACGAGCCCACTTAGGTAAGCCCCAGCACCCTGGTAGAACCCGAACAACCATCGACCGGCCTTGAGGCCTGACTCTTCGAGTTGGCGCATTCCAAGGTTTGGCTCTCAAAAAAAAGTTGTGAAGCCTGTCCATAGGTGCTCTAATAAGCCGTGTATGTGGGACTCGATAAGAAGCATGTAGCGGTGTCCCCGTCACAGCCCAATATTGTAGGCAAATTCGCCATGACGGTGATGGAAAATACTTTCAAAGCATCTCGAAAAAAATCCACTCTTCCGGCCCTCTATATTCTCATTGTGCTGGGCCTTCGAAGGCTCTCCTGACAGCCCAACCGCCCTAAATTTCTGGTGCTTCCATCCGCAAGACACCGCAGAAAACTCCGGTGCCCGTTGACCGAGCTTGCATTGATCGTGTAAGAAAGCCTCATTTGACCTCTTACGATGATACAGCCCACATCGTGATCACAATGATAAGGTCCCGGATTCACATCAAAGATCCTGTCCATAAGTCCATAGAATTACATGAGTCGGAAAGAGGCAGCCGAGTGCTCCGCAGAATCGACTCCCGCCACCTACCTCAACACAGCAGGTCCGTAACAGTGCCACGGAGGGCAGAGTGATCGTGGGCCACCAGCACTCCGGCTCGCGATCGGTCACTCCTGACGACTGGCGGTGTGCCGAGACACGTGAGGAATGGCTCCTGTCCCGGTCCCGGTCGGGTGGGGACCTCTTTGAGACAGCGAACTTGGCACTGCCGGTGGGCCGGCGACAGCATGTCTCGCCCGCTTCTCGCCCGTTTGCTCACCGGACTACACATCGCTCCAACGCGGCAGCGCTTCCGATGCATTAGTCCTCACGTATCTTGTCTTGTCCGGCAAGGGAAAAGGCGCCAGTGCTGCAATGGCTTCTCAACAACAATCGATATGTCTTCTATGAAAAAAGTGAGGTGTGCGTAGTACTCGTAGACTGTAAAAAGTGCCACTCCAGCAAACCAGAAAAGCTTGTCAAACTCCCTCCCATCAGCTTCCGCAACCGCGAGATTCCTATCGAATGGCACCCACGTAACCCAAAACGCCAACGCCAGTAGACAGGTCTGAGAAAGAGGGGCAGGTAGCTGAGAAACATGTGAAAGAGGACCGCTTCGGAGTCGTATCCGTTGTTGGTAGTGAGCATGTTCGTGTATATCGAGTGTGTCGTACGGTATCCACTTCTCTGGGCAGCTGTGATGTTCGACCTGCTTATCCCATCGCGCCGCAATTCTCATGCAAAGCCTCTAGAAGCTGCATCCCGAACCAGGAATGCTATGCCATCGTTCTCGGCCATCCCCACAGGATCGCCTCACACCTGACTCCTTTACATGGCCATCTCTGCCTGCAGCTTGCGGAGCTCGGCCTCTTCGTCGTCCTCTTCGACAGCTTGCGCCTTGCCTTTGACTGAATTATCACGTCAGTACATCACTCTTATCATGATCTCAGAACGTGGGATCTCCATACTTGGTCCGTTCGCGGCGGCAGGCATCTGGTGAACGCGGTCTGACACAGGCACAGTGCCAGTGCCCACCATTTGCTCGTCCAAAGCCTCCTGCTGCATTTGATCCAGCTCATCCTCCAGGTCCTCGTCGATAATGTTATCGGTCTGGCCCGTTGTGATAGCGTTGACAATTTCCTCGCTAAGCGCATTTTGTTCGCGGAGATCCTCCCTGTTCTCGTAGTTAGCATTTGTCTTTCGCACTGGCTTACAACCTCCGAAACGTACATTGTTTGGTCCACCTTGTCCACGGTGAGCTTGCCGTGAATACCCTTCATGGCCTGGCCAGCCTTCTCCATCGCCAACAGCGTCTCGCGGTTGATATTCGCCGACTCGATAGCGTTGATTTGGGACTCGAGTGTTGTGATTTGCGAAATAGTCTGTTCGAGGCTGTGTTCGTGGCCCTTCTTGCGACGCAAGGCAGCCTTTGCGGCTATCACGATATCCCGTCAGCATCTAGTCTCCCCGCAGTCTCGATTACTCAGATAAGTTACCGTTCTTGTTTGTGTTGACGTTCTTCCTCGCAATAGTATCTTGTTCGTCCATCAACGTTTGAAGATGCTTCTCTCTCTTTTGCAGCATATCAAGCTGGACCCTAAGGCCGAGGATTGCATCTTTGGCATCGTTCTTCTTCTTGGCGCCACCACCACCGCCAAACCAGCCCCAGACGCCAGACATGATCAGACGTGTTGAAGTTTCGGGTTTGCTAGTATTAATCGAGTAAATCGAATGGATTCCGGTCGTTTATGAGGTTGTGCGCAGGCAGCGATGGTTCGAAGGCAGCCGTATTCCGGGGTTGCGTGGCACTCGACCGAAGTTTGATGGCGGGGTACCGAAACGGGAAACAAGCGGGCACTCGTCGTCGTCAACGAGCTGCAAATTTAGCGAAGGCGTACTGATAGGCGGAGTTGCCAGTAATTTCTATATCACGCGACGAACACCCGCGGCTCGCTCAAGTCAAGTTGTCGCCAAGTTGATAGTTGGAAGGCTGATAGATAGAGTCACGTAGGTAGTCGGTAGGTAGGTATGATGCAAGCTCCCGACTGGCTCAGCGACGCCGTTTAGTGGGCAAGCGATGACGGCGGTTGTGCCCAGCAACACCGCTGCCGCCTGATTTAGCCGCGGTTCAGCCGATCATGTGAGACGCCCGCGTGACAGGCCACCTTGGTGGTGACTTCCAAGGTTGATCCAGATAAGACATATCTTATCACCGATAAGTACCTTACCTTAGAGTGCACGCGGCCCAGTGACCAAGGTTGCAGGCGCCAGCAGCTGTCACCATTCACCGTTCCCTTCCGCCTCAGTGAGTAACTCGTACCTACCTTTATATCGTATAGGAAGGTAGCCGGGGAAACTACAAAGTTGACTTCACGCACAACGTCCTTCAGACATACACTACCCGGCAGCCTCAGATGATCGTTGTCTAAATCACTTCATTCACCACCTGACTGGAACTTACCTTCGACTTGGCCAAGCAGTGATGCATATTGTTCGAGGCCTGAGCAACTAACAATCACCTAAGCCATGTCTAGAGGCCCGCTGCCTTCTCAACTTTGTCTCTTGTCAGACTTGCCGGCTCGACCACACGGCGATAAGGTCAGATTTCTCGGGTGGTAAGTTTTTATATTTTTCGCCCACTTCTGACTTTGATCGATGATTCGCTCTCGTCCTATGTCAAAAGTCGTCTGTTGGTAACCATACTAATTGCCATCAGTGTAACTGCGTACTCGACGCAATCAGCTGTGCTCACGCTAGAGCATAGGTTCCCCAAAGGATCCGATATCAGTGTATTGGTTGACATTCAACTCTTACTCAGTACCATGACTTCAAACCAGACACGCATCGGCGAGTGGGTAAATGTGGTTGGCTATCTCACGCCCGCTCCCCCGGGAACGCGGGCCAAAGGGACGACCCGTGAACCACGTATAGCCGCCGTCCAAGCAATCATGCTCTGGTCCGCTGGCCCTCTCAACCTTCAGCGATACGAAGCTTCCTTCGCAACAATTTGAAGTAGAGTCTAGATGAATCCATGCCACCCGTTGGGGAAGACGAGGCACACCATCTACTACCATAAGCTGCCGCCTAACCTGAGAGGAAGCGGACATTGGCCTCGGTAACAATGTAGGCAGACGTGTCATGCTCACTACCGCACCCAGGCTCCCGTGTCTCGTCCAATTCGTCACGCATGCCACGAACCAACAGGTATGGATAAGAGATCTTACATTGGGACTGAAGATGGGCTTTTCTTTTAGCATTCGCAACCGAGCACGGTCCGAGCATCATGTCAGCCACGCCATCCTGTCAAAGGTTTCCATTGAACAAACATTCTCGGCCCGCATGAATGTGCTACTAGCCCACAGCGACGACTTGGTCCAAAATAAATGCACCTTGTCTATTCTGGAAGGCAAACACACGCCAATTAGGTATCTGGATGAGGAAACGCGTGCTCATGGCATTCGCTGGCGCTGCACTCTGATGCGCGCCTCTTGCAACAATTCCGCATACACATACCAAAAAGGAGCAGCGCGTAAAGGACCTCGGAGATTTTGCTGTTACCATTGGACCCCCCAAAAACATGCCAGATGGCAGACTACTGCTGGGTGATTTCGGGACACATACTCTTCTCGTCCCAATCAAACAAAAATCTGGTTATAATACTGCTTCGTTTCGCCTGACGCCCATCCAGTCAAAAGAACGAGTGTTCGGTCGGGTCCACCGTTTGCTGCGGCCACCAGGCCACACAACTCGACCCCCCTCATAAGAGACGCGACCTTTTGCGCATGCCTCGAATCATCGAATCCCACAAATTCCTTCCGTATGCATGAAAGGGCTAACCCGACCGCCTGCAACGCCTTAATATTCAAATGCCTAGATCCAAAGACCTGGCCCAATGCGAGATCTCATTCACCACAGTCGACTCCACCGATCCACCCGACTTCACTCCCGCCGCCTGTCGTCGTAACGTCGATGTCGCTCGTGGCTTCGGTGTGCGTCATGTCTCCTTTTTGACGAGTCGTTTGACCCTCGGGATATCACCACCGGCTGATGCAACGGTCTTTTGAGGGGCTTGTCTGCTTCTTGGGCTCTAATGGCCGCCTGGCGCTCCCATATTTCTTTGGACTTCCTACAGATATCGTCGATCTGCTCCTATATGCAGAGACGATGATCAGCAAATTCTGCACCGCTGAAGAACAAAAGATGGGGGAAAGGACCAAGCGGCAAGCTCACATCTGTCAAGCAAGGGCCTGGAGTGGTGATGAGGAATCCATCTTCTCCCTGTAGATGCTGTGAGAGGCGTCTCAGTCATCGTGAATGAGATATTCACACCTCATTTGTGTACGGCCTGACCGTTGCATCTGGCCCGAGATAATAGGGAAGCTCTTGAGTGATGATCTTCTTGTGAATATCCAACCGGGGAATCCAGTATCTGTTCATCTCTGTTGACGAAGGCATGGCAGATGTTTGGGCATGGAAAATATGAGCTGTCTGCCTGAGCGCATTGGGCGAGCAAGATGGCGCAAGTCATCGTGAAATATTGGCGATCAGGAGGAAGAACAAGGTATTTATCTTCGCCAACAATGCGATGATTCGGGGTGCCAATCCTCGTGCGCTGCAACGGAGTCGATATTACGAGTTCCCCAGGCATGTTATTGCACCAAGCAAGACAAAAGGAGCACTTTGTCTTGCCTTTTCGGCACAGCTCTTGTCGGTATCCTCACCGCTCCGGCTTCTCAGTCGTCAGAACCTGCCTCTACAAGGCCTGCATGCAAGGACAGACGCCACATACGGCCTTTGCAATGTCGGTTCTCACCAGGGTGGGAACCCATCCATCTGGGTGTGTTCCACCTTACAGGTTGGGGGTGGTGAGCCTGCAGGAGATAGGCAAAGTGAGGCGGACGGCGGCAACCCCATGACGGTTCGCCTCACACGCCCGCAACAATCCCGCCACCTGCAACCACGAATCACCGTCGGAAGTCGCTATATGCGTCGGAACGACCTTAATCGAGTCTTTCGATTCTCTCTCTACTGCACGCCCTTTTTCGAATGGAGTTTCTGTTGGCTATCATTCGCCAGTCACTTCTCGACTATGAATCAATTCGCTGCGAGATCCAGTGACGGGACTAGGCTGCAGTTTCTGCAGGTCCATCTCATCGCCATCTTCGTTTCCGGACATGCTGGAATGGGACCTACCCTCGTGGCTTCCTGGCAAATTCAGCTTCCTCCATGGATGAACCCTGGTGGGTAAGGTAAGGCGTCGGTGAATTCTGGCAGCTAAGCGGTGCAGATCATGTCGATCGCCGCTCGCGACTTCGAGGCGAGCATGCGGGGATGGCGAGCGTCTGCCAGTCATTGCTGACCAGGGTTTCTTATATATCTAGGATCTCGAGTTCTTCAACGATCCAGATGAACCCTGGACCCTTCCCTTTTCTGTTGGTCCCGGATTTTTGGAACACAAGGCTGCTGCGATCGTCGCCGTCAACACCAGATTCGTCGGCGCTGAAACTGCCGGTGAACAGTAATCATAGACAAGTCATCATTTCGACAATACAGCCTTCAAGTTGCTGTAAAGTGGTGTGCACGATGATTTTCCAATCGAATCACACAGCTTCCGACCGTACCGATCGTAACACTATCCAGCATTATCGGTATCAAAAATGCGTCAACGGGGAACTAGAGAGCCCTTCCAGTACTTGACAGCCGAATACGAGGCTTTCCGGCCGGGCATGGCATAAGCCC